CAACATTTGGCACGCGGCTCGCCAGGGTAAGCACCCTAGCGGGCTGGGCCAGTTTATTTACCTGCTGACGCGGCAGGTTCGGCCGATCGTGGCCCCCACTCACCGCGGTTCGCCATCCTGGGCCAATGGGGGTGGCGGGAAGCTGCGGCCAGCACATCCCTCTGAAGAAATTGATGATGTGGAAGCCAGTAACAGCGTGTTTATAGCATTTCACAGATTGGGTAGGCAAAATGTCCTTCTCACTTTTTGTTTTGTTTGTTTTAAAAAAATTAAAATAAAGGTGGTGTGCAATCCATTTATCAATCTATAAACTAACTTCCATGCTGCTTTAAAATGTTCCTTTGCTAGCTGAACTAGTACTAAAGTTTACTAGTTTTCATTTAAACAGTAAAGTGGGCTTCTGGTTAACTACTTCTCTGCTGGCCTCCAAAGTAACATTGTTTGAATAATGCTACTTAAATACAATTTTACAACTTTAGAGTCCTTAACTAATATATTCCCCATACCTCATTTGAGGCAGGTATCGTTCCCACTTCAGGGCTGAGAGGGTGAAGCCATTTCATCCAAATACAGAAAGAGCCTGCCTGAGACAGGATTAGATCTGACCACTAGAGCATGTTGCCTCCCTGAAACTTCAGTACCAACATACCCTCAACATTTCAATGGAAACACTGGCATACTGTGTATGGGTCAGCCCTAGAAGTGCACTATGTTCCATATGCTATGTACATCAGGCAGCAGCGAAGCACTTAAACCACTAGCTCAGCAAGAAACTGGTTGAGTCGCATGACGCTGCCAGTATGGGAGTCCAGTGCCAAAATTCATCAAGATGGAAGATGACTGCTAGAGGTTCAAAAACCTGATATGAATCAGAAATTTAGATTTCAAGTTCATTTTGTACAAGGGAAGAAGTGCTTCTACTTTTTTTGCACTTGGGCCTTGTTTGCTTAACACCCAGTGCAATTATCACTTTGAGCAACACATTTTTAGGGCTGGTTTATGCTTAAAAATTAGGTTGACATAGCTGTGTTGGTCAGGGCTATGAAGAATCCACAGCCCTGACCAGTGTAGTTAAACTGCATCTACAAAGGGGTTGGGAACATTCTTCCATCGACATTACTGACCTATCCGTCTAGCTGCTGCTGTTCAGGGAGTTGGTGGTCCTGTACCGATGGAATGAGTTTTTGGGGTCAGGGTTGATTTTTCTCCCCCCCTCCCCATTTGGTGTAAACTACATCTGTGCTATGGGATTGTCCTGGCATAGCTATGGTAACGTAGCTATTCCAGGATAGTCTCCACTGTGTAGACATACCCTCACGCTACGATCTCTGACAAATCTGTTGCTGCGGGGGGGGAAACAAGTTAATCATGCTTGTGCCTTTCAGTAAAGACTTTGTGAAGATGCATGACTTAATGTAGTTCTTTAATAGAGACATAGTGTTTCGTACTCTGATGAAAGCTGAATGGATTTGATACCAAAACTGAGGCAACATTGATCAATGAACTGTGGGTCTAGTTAAGGGATATATTATCCTCTGCAACCCGTCTGACTTCAGTGGCATTTCATAGGATATTTGTTGCTGAATTTGGCCCAGGAGGCTTTGATTGGGGGTAGAATAATGAATTTCTGTTGCACTGCTACAACTTGTGGTTACATTTTTTTTTTTTTTTTAATTTAGTAGTTACAGTACTTCAAGGCTGTCCAGTAGCTCTTTCCATGTTTACATTGCTGTATTGTGTATTACTATTTGTAGTCTTTTGATTGCAAAAGAAGTATTTATTACTTTCTAAGCCAGATGTTTGGGATGCAGCATGCAATACTTCAAAGGCAGCTGACTTCCCTTTAGTCTATACAGCATTACTGAAACCTTATAAAAGCACTGAAGTAACAATGGCAATGATTTTCAATTGACCACTAATTAGAAAAGCATTGGACTAATAGGATGAGCTATACTTAGTAAGGCCTGCCCTTTTTGTTTAATCAGGGCCCAGAAACTAATAAATATCTGTTCATATAGTCTTAGGCAGCGGACTTTGTCATTTAACGGTGCTTCCATAACTGTTTCTTTGAACTGTTGAAGCCTACATTGGACTCTGCTTTATCTTGAAATTAAAAAAAAAAAAAAAAAAAACCCAGTTTTGTGGGTCTCTGAGCACACTGACCCTTGGTGATGTAGCTTGTTTGGTCACTAAACTAATAGAACCCAATTTAAGTGTGCAGGGGAATGTGCAGAAAAGGTGTGCTGCTTTCATCCCATCTATTTTTCTTTCGTCCAAAGAGAAACACTGGCATCAATTGAGCAGTCAGCAGTTACCCTGCCTTCCTGGACAGAAGACAGTGGTTCTGGATCTTTTTTAAGAGGGAAATGACTCAGAATTCTTGGTGGCTTAGCAGAAATTCTAAGCCAAGCTTCCAAGGAGGAGTTTTGGTGCTCAATGTGCATTAGTTATGCTCCACCTACAGTCCAGTACTGATGTGCTTAACCTTTGGAACTGATACCAGTCTGACAACACGCATGCTACTCTGTTATACTCCCAGCTAAATCTGTAGTTACATCTTTTTACCTTTTAATTTTTCATGGTAAACATGGTAAAAATTTCACATGGTAAACTATAAGGTGGGAGGGAAAGGTTTGAATAGATTATGCGACTTAAGTGGCTGCCACTCCAATAGTATGGCAAAGCTTGCTGTTTTGATTAATTTTTTTAACTGTTCAGTGGACTGTGTAAATAGGAATCAGCCTACTAAGTGCTTTAAACCTTCCTTTTCTCTTTAAAGCATTTTGTAATGCAGTGTGTGAAGGATGAGATATAACTTTTATTTTTAAAAAAGCTGTACTACCATAAACATCTGTGGACATACTTCTGAATCCATGTAGCCCTTAAGTTGCAAGACTTGCTCATTTCGGGTGAGGATATATTTCCGTATGTCAGCATTCTTTTTAACGAATTGGTGCAAAACATTTAATTAAAAACAGGTACTAAAAATAATTATCCAAAGTAAAACAATAAGTTGGGTGAGACGCCTTTCTAAGGAGCAGTAAAATTAAAGGGTCTTCTCCCCATTTCTCTTCCTCCCTGCCCCAAGTCTGTCTCCTCCATTTATGACTGACTGCGATTATCCTTAAATCCAATGCATTCTCTTCCATCTTGAGTAGAACCCTACTAATGTCAACCCTTGAACTGCTCTGGAAACATGAGCCAGTCTAAAGACCATGAGCTAGCACTTCTATCTTCTCCTCCTCCTATATGAGGAAGCTTCTATAAGCAGTTACCCCCCGCCTCTCTCTTCCCCCCCCCCCTACCCCACCCCGTTGCTCAGTATGTGACACTACGGAAACTCCCACTGTACACTGTGGTTATGCTCTCAGATGTGACCAGTCACGTAGATAACCTGTTTCATCTGCACTGTGGGGCGGTGGTCTGCATCTACCATTTTGTAGCTGTTCTTTCCAAGTCACTTTAAATCTTTGCATTTTACTTTTTTAAGTGTTAGCATGGGAAGTTGCCACCAAATAGATGACTATAGCCTCTCAAGTACTTTACTGTTTTGCCCGTTCAAAAGTTAATTACATTCAGAGATAGAGATTGTTAATGCTTGGATAAATGTTAAGATCCTGGCTGCAATAGTATAGAAACTTCTGGATGTCAAGTCAGGTGAGCTATTCAATATTACATTACCAAATTTTGCTCCTACTCTTTGAATTGGGTAAAAAGAGAGGGAGAGATTAGAGAAATCCTGTTCTCTAGGCTGCTTTTTTTTGTGTTACACAGCTCAAGGTTTTGTTCATCTGGCTAAGCACAAAGGCTCTTATGTTTTTGTTTGTCCTTGAGAAATCCTTTAAATCTAGTGGCTCTTCTGCCATTAGCAGCCATGTTCATGTCACAGGCCCAACTAAACGATACTGCACTGGACGAGTGTTGCCGTGTTACATGTATCTGGCTAAGTTGTCTCTGCTACTAAAATGAGTTCACTGGCTCACTGAGTACAGTAAGTGAAAGCAGCTTGAAACCTTCCTGAAATAAAGCTGTTTTCCCCTGTTTGTCAGTGTTGTCCCTGTCCTAAATCAATCATGCTGGTGTAGGACAGCGTGTCATAGGCACTGTCTTAAGGACGGGGACTTAATTTTTTTACAAAAAAGACCTGTCTTCTAATACTCATCCACCACATGGTCTTTCACTTTCTTTGGCCAAAGCGGGGTGGGGGGAGTGAAGGTGGGTAGTGACACAGCCTCAGGACTTCTTCATAGTGAGCTCCTACTGTGCTAGTCATTGTTGGTGTGACTCGATGTGCTGGCATAGTCTCCTCCACCTCAAGGGAAGCTGTTGATCAGAAACTGGCACATTGTTTCCAACTCTAACAGGTGTTTGGATCAAACCATTTATTGTTAAGAGCATTGGGCTACACCCTGGAATATTAACCTAATGTGGTGCTGGGATTTTTGTGACGCAGGGTGAGAAACACAGTCGCTTCTAAATACTTCTAAGAATTGTATCATTTTAATCTGAGCATAATACAAAGACTGTGGCTACACTGGCAAAAATTGGACCTGTAATTCTCTACTTGTGGAAGTGTAGTATAGAAAAGTCTAGGGTATTTTTACTACCCTCTTGTTTAATCCTTGGATTCAAGTAACTGAGTTTAAAAAGCTCTGTCCCCTTCATCAAGGACTTTCACTGCCTGCTGTTAGTTGTAAGAGGGGAACTCAAGACTTCCCAATCAGAGCAGTTAGAATTCTAAGTTTAGAAAACACATGTTTATTGCATTTTATCTTTTCTTTTCTCTCTACTCAGATGAATCCTTTTGTTTACAAGTTGGTAGTGGTTGATGCTACCAGGTTACAGAAATAAAATAAATTATGGCTTGAAAACAATTCTTTCGTTGGGAGGATGGGAACAAACTGTGCAATTAAGTTAATTTTCTATTGCCAGTGAGGTTTCATCAAACGCCTCTTTAGTCCAGCTCAGAGTGTACTAAAATATCCCTTCTTCCTCCCCAGGACCTTCATTGCAGGCATATTGCCCAGCAGGAGAAGTGGACAAGATTCTTTTTGGAACCCATGAACTTCTCTGACAGGTAGGAGTTGCTCTGTAGTGCTATGTTCTATTATGCTAGGTAGCATTTTGCAAACTCTAACATGCATCGGAGGTTGGGGAAAAAGTCAATTTTCCCCCCTTTTTTTTAAATAGGGAACTGAGGCATAGAGAAGTTAAATGACTTGCCCACTGTGACATAGGAAGTCTGTGCATCCAACTCTCTTGAATTCCCACTCCAGTGCCGTAACAATAAGAACATCTTTCTTCTCTAGTTAATCAAAACACAAGCGAAGTAGATGAATATCCCTAATTCACAAATGGGCAAACTGAGGCCAAAAGACATTTCAGTGAGTTGTCCTTATTACTTCTTCCCAGTTGGGCAAAACATAGCAACTGCACTATATTTTCAGTCCCTGAGAGCATGAGAAGCAGGAAAGTAAGCCCAAATTCCACGTCCCCCTGAACCTTGATCCGAGTAATCTGTGTGGTTTAAAGGAAAGTGTGTATGAATGGTAATGGAACTCCTGAGTTCTTATCTCAGCTCTGCCAGTGCAGTCTGGGCACCAGAACTGGACACACATTCATCCTGCCTGGGAGATGGACTAGATGACCTCTTGAGGTCCCTTCCAGCCTGACCTTGCTATGATTCTCACTGTCATCTTAATAAAACAAATTGCAGTGTGTTGTACCATAAACCTGACTGCAGGTGGATTATGAATGGTTCTGTTCCCAGTTAACAAAACAAATCCCAGATGCTGGCATCTGTTACATAAAGGTAATCCTCACTTTTTCCAAGCATTTTAAAAATTAACTTTGTACCACATTTTAAAAGCAACATATTACAAACAAGCTGACAAACGTGAGGCACTACTAATCTTATGGTATGACTCCCATTCTCTCTTTCTCATATGTTCCCAAATCTGGACAGTGTGGCACTATGAAAAGAATCTTGAGAAGCCGAAATGAATTGGTGTGTTTTTTTTTGTGTGGTGGTTTTTTTTTATTATTCTTATTTTGGGGGGGTGGGGGCAGTGGAGACTTTTTTTGGGGGGGGAGTAATCTCTTCACCTCCTTTCATGAGACCAAAAAGTTAAATGAAATAGTGAAAAATCTCTCCAATATGTAACATTTAAGCTACTAAGAAACTGGAATCTTGGTGGAAAAACTGCATGTGAAATAGGCCACAGTTAACTGTTTCTGCTGGCACACCTCGGTATTTTTTACCAGAAGGTCATGTGAATGTTTCAGTCCTAGAGTTTTCATATGGTGATGTAGCACCCTACATAATATCTGAGAAGCATGTTTCTGCAAAATGTAAAGGGAGACTAACAGCTTGTAAGACCAGAAGGGACCATTGTGACTGTCTAGTTTGACTGCCTGCATAATACAGGCTATAGCACTTCTCTGTATTTAATTCCTGCTTCAAGTTCACTAGCTGTGCTTGAACTAGAGCATATCTTTTTAGAAAAAGTCCAATCTTGATTTAAAAATTAAGAAGCGAGGGAGCAACAAAAAAACTTGGTAAGATATTCCAATGATTTATTATCCTCAGTGTTAAAAATGTACACGTTCTTTCTAGTGTGAATTTGTCTAGTTTCAACTTCCAGCTATTGATTCTTCTGACACCTGTGTCTGCTAGCCTGAAGAGTCCTCTTGTCAAATTTCAGTTCCCCAGGTACTTGTAGACTATGATCAAGTAACAACTTGGGCTGTGCTTCATAACTGCCCTTCTATGTTTGAAATCTCTTATAATGCAGCAACCCAGACTTTTGAGGTTTCAGCAGATTTCACACCCACCAGTCTTTAAGCCTGATCCCTAGATTATTTTGGGGAAAAGGAGTCAAATTGATCCCAGGATAAGTAGTGCTACTACATGCCTTCTAGAAATACATATACACCTCTACCCCGATATAACATGAATTCGGATATAATGTGGTAAAGTGGTGCTCCGGAGGGGGGTGGGGCTGCGCACTCCAGCGGATCAAAGCAAGTTCGCTATAACGCGGTAAGATTTTTGGCTCCCGAGGACAGCATTATATCTGGGTAGAGATGTAATTATTTTACACAAAGCAATGGGTCTCAGGACAAAAATACGGAGGCAACACTTTAATTTTATTAATAATAAAATAAAAGGGAGGGTGGAGGAAGTCGAGAATCCCTTCTAGGGTCAGCACCTTTCTCTGTGTGTCCTGCCTTTCTATCTTTTTGCATTTTATGTCCTGGACAGTGTTGAACACACTAGGTAGATAATAATGGCTTAATTATGAATCCTAAAAAATGGTACCTCCAGCCCAGGTCCTTCTGCGATAATACTCTGCTCAAATTCAGGCAGCATTAAAAAAATGGGAATGTCTCCCCTGTATTCTTCATTTCAGTGTGCATTGCAGAGACAGCTATATAAGCTGTTGATTTCATGTTAGTATTTATTTGTTGCTGTGACTCTAACTTTACTCATAACATTTAAAATGATTTTCATGTGCAATGAACCCAAATCTCCAAAGCACTGAGGGTCTCTGTTGGGATGCTGAGCATATTAATCTCTCACTAAAGAAAATGGAAGGTCCTAATGCTCCTCTGTTCGTTGATCAGTGTCTCTAATAAGGAAGTGTGAACTTAACATATTTGGATGTTTTCCTAAAAGTTTGTCATGATCTTATCTAATACTGCAGTTTTTCTTTAATTCATTTTTTATAGACAAGTTTAAACAGATTTTAATTTACATGTGAGCGAAAGTGTTTGTTTTTTTTTAAGTCAAAATCCCACTATTCAGAGAATTCTCACCAGCTAGGTAAAGACAGTGCCTCTAAATTGTCCTTTAATGACCAAGGAGATGGGGATAATTAAAGAATTCTTCCTGGTCATTCATAAACTAAGGATGAGGTTTTCTGTTGCTTAGAAATTGTCAGGCCACATATTAAATAGTAGCTGAGTAAAGTTTATTTTTAGCTTTATTACAGAGAATGCTAACTTATTATTATGAACAAATTTCCTAGATAGTTGGAGAATGTCTGATAAAGTTTTTCTCTATACTCCATCTATTTCAGGTGTCCTGAGCTATATTCTTTTGTCTTTATGTGTAGAATTCTAAGTATAATATTTTAATATTGTTTTGCTACATTTTATGTAAGGTGGTCATCTCTGAGTTTGTCCCAGGTGCTTTACCAAAGAGGAAAACTGATCATAGTTTCTGTGAAACTCTCAAGTCTCCATCCCTGAGGTGAAAACCTATGGGTACAAATCTTTGCCTCAGAACATAGGAAAAACTCTTTTCCAGTACAAACTAGGAAATCTTCATCATGATGACACAATCATAGCTGAGTGTTTTAAAATTTCAGATTGTGTCCGCTGGCTGAGTGTTGAACACCCCCATGTTATCAAAACATCTGGGGGTAATGTGTGTCTGTGATGTATTTCCATTATGTGATTTGAAAAATACTTAATGGCTTTTATGTAGTTAACAGTTAAAGGAAATATACAATATCAACAGCATCCTGAAGTTGGGATGTTTAGCAATTTTTCAGATGGGTTTTGCAATTAATGATCATAAAAACGAGAAAAAATGTATTAAATGTTTACTACAGATACTAACATTACATGAGAAGATCTAATTTTCTGTTAATTGAAGTTCCACGCCTAAACACGGTGTACATTGAGTCGATTGGATTATAGGCTTCTTAAAACTTGGTGCTAAATTCTGCTTTCAATGTACTGGTGCAGCTCCACTGGCTTAAATGGGGTCATGCCAGTATAATAGTAACAATTTGCACCACAGGAAGTGGTATTGCCACTCCATGGGCTTTCAGCTACAGAAGTCCCTTTATCATTCATGTATAGAAGTTTGAAGCTCTGAGCTTGATTTGAGAAGAAATACATAAGGTATCTTAATAAAAAGGTTCTAGAGTAATTTTTTTGTCCAGTTTAAATTTGACAACTCAATTACTTCATCACCAATTTTTTAAAAAAGAATTGTGAGCTGTTGCATTGTGAACACAATGTTCATATTAAGTCCACATCATGTTGCTTAGTCATTACAGCGGAAATAAAGCTAGCTTTGACAATATAGAAAAACAAGGTATAGAATGAATGGATTGCCATAGATGTGTGCTCCAAAAAACACAAGAAGATTAGTAGTGAGTTTACTGTAGCAAAGCCTAAGACTGAATTCTTCCCTAAAAGACCAGAGCTGCGTGTCTTTCTTTAGCTAATTTGTTGGACTGGTGTCACCATAACATTATCTGCGATGGTTGAAATCTAATGGCCGATCATAAATGCTCTGCTTGCACACTTATTTTTTCTTTGCTAGCAAAGTGGTGGTGATTTTAAAACTTTTTTTCTTGCGGTGTCTTGGCATTTTTTGTATAAAGTGTGCTTGGCAACTTCCTAAGCAAGTTTTCTGTTGCTTTTAATCATAGGTCTTTAATGAGCCTAAACAAGCTCACTTATTTCCCCTGAAACCTATAAAAAATCATAATCCAAAAGGTGTTGATTCCCTGAACAGACTGGTGTGTTCATTTCTGACTCAGGCATGGTGAAAGTATGGGACACAAAGGGTTAAGGTCTGCCATTTTGTTATGTAACACCCTTAATGGACATATCAGTGAATGGCACCAAAATGGCAGGGCTTAACCCTTTGTGAGCTGTAGTGCCTCACAGTCAGAAACCTGCATCTCAGAAGCTAGGCTTGTTCTTTTTAAAACAAAAAAACCTCCAAGTCTCAGTTTTAAAGACTTGTTTTAACTAGCATGTGGCCTGCTGATTAGTTCTTTTGCTTCAGTAACAATACCAGAAAACTTAACACATTTTTAAATGTTTGTTGATAGTCACTTTCATGCCACAGGACAGCTTGCCTTTGGTTGCTACTTTTCTTATTACTGAGTTGATACAATAAGAAAAAGATCTTGAGTTACCAGACTGCAGCCATCTACTGTCTAAGGCATAAAGTGACCAGTGTGTTCTAGTCCTAGATTTCCTAGATTGATTTATTTAAAAAATATATATATATTTTTAACTCAAACCTGCTTTTTTTTTCTTCTTCTTTTT